GAAGGGAGGAGTAGAGGACTAGCCATATGGTGGGTGCAAGAAGTGGGGGTTAATATCCTATTTTATTCTAAAAATATTATTCATATCCAGATACTGACTTTGACATTAGAAGCCCCAACTTATATTACCTTTATTCATGGGCCACCAAATGAGACTGATCGATTGGCTATGTATGAGGAAATCAAACGACTAAGCAAAGGAATTGTTGGCTCATGGATGTGCATTGGGGAATTTAATGACATTATCCCTCAATAGGAGAAAAAAGGGGGTAAGCCAAGAGCGTGGAGGAAAATGTTTAACTTTCAACACTTCATCTCAGATTGCTCACTGATGGATATGGGGTTTAATGGTTCGAGATATACGTTGTGCAACAAAAGGCTAGGATTTGCCACAATTTTTGAGAGAACGGATCATGCATTTGGAAATGTTGCTCTCTGTCTCAGTTTCTCCAAGGCCCGAGTTTTCCATATCGAACCTTCAGGCTCTCTGATCATTATTTACTTTTGATTGATTTATGCTATAATGATGTGAAAGCTGCAAGACCTTTCTGTTTTGAACATAATTAGACCACTCATCCAAAATGCTTACAGGTGATTCATAAGAACTAGACTCAATCTTCTGGAATTTCGATAGAAATTCTTGATGCTTTTGTTCAAAATTTAAACCATTATAGGAACAATCTAATGAAAAGGAGCAATTGATAAATTTGGTATTCTTTTAAAAACAAATAGAAAATACAAATTTTGCATGCCAATGCTTTGCTCTTTTGAAACACACACACACATCATTCAATATAATTTTATACCAACAATCTTGTAAACAACTTATACAAGTTAATAAATACTACACCTTTCAAATCACAATATAAGACATCTTTTAAAAACTTTGTTTGGTCCAAAATACAGAGTATTAAATAATTTTATATTTATTTTTTCAACTATGCTCCTACTTCATTTATTACTTTTTTTGAAAAAATCATGCATTAAAATTTTAATTACTATGATCAAGACTCTTATATAGGGTATTTAATGAGAGTATAAATGAAAAGATGTGAACATTTTTAATAATTTAAGGTTTCAACTAACATTGTTCATAAATCATGAATTAGTTAACTATAACTTTTTCAATCTAAAAGGAGTATAGATTATTTAGTTTTTTCGACCTTTCTATTTCTAAAATGGTTACTCATGATCACTATTGTGGCCTCAATTTTCTTGAACCTTCGAGAGGTTCTAAATGACTAAAATCTATAAAATTAACCACTATATGTCAATTTTCAACTGAACTTGGAGCACTTAAATAGCACAATTAATTAGTCGAAACTTCTAATTCCCTTTCTTTGGACAATTTTATGTCTAAACAACTTCTACTAATTCCATTAGCATCAATATAAGATTTTCACAACTTCAAACCTTTTTTTTTTAAGCTAAAATCTAGCCAAATTCTCAAACTCAATTAACAACTACCAATCTAGTTACAAATATTTAATTTAACTTTCAATAACCCTTCAATGATATTTGAACTAGAAAACAACCTTTACTATCTAAAAGTTCAATTTCTCCTTATATCAAATCAAGAGAAAACAGAGTAGATAGAGAGAGGAAAGGGGTATAAAGTTTACCTAGAAGATGATAGGTCGAAAACAACTCTCAAGCATTCATAAACCAATGCCCTCAAAGGGCTACCCTTTCCTCACCTCTATGCTTTCTATTTTCCTTCCTTTCTCCTCTCAAAATCACGAGCTAACCCCTCCTTTAAAGTCAAATTTCTAATCCATGAGGTGGATGCATTGTGCTAAGCTGTGGTGTGTGGCATAATGAATAAAATCTCATTTTAGCTCTCCTATTCAATCCCAGTTAGCTCTACTTTCATCCAATCTTGATCACACACCTATCCAAGGACCCAACATGCCAAGTTACAATTCCGGCATCATGATTATCTTATATAATTCACTAATTCACTAAGTTATCTTTAAATTAGTAGTTAGTTCATGAATTAAAAACTTTGGGATGTTATAGTGGGGTGTGATAATTACAAATATGGGGAGTCCTTTCTTTTCATATGATGTTGCACATGTAAGCTGGCTGTTATGGTCTATCTGGAACGGTAGAAATGATTTTGATTTCAATCATGAAGTTCTTAACCCTGTTAATGTGATCATTAAAACTAAAATTGCCATATCTGAATTTGGAAAATTTGTCAGGTTTCAAACACAAGGGGGAAGCGGACATGAGTCACATATTGACTTCTACTTGGCCTTTGCCCCCGTTAATTGTCTCAAAATAAACTGTGACGAGGCATTTAATTCCAAGGACAACGCCACTACTAATGGCATTATATGTGGAAACGATAGGGGAGAATTTATATGGGCCTTTGTGGACAAAGTTAAATCTATCCTGGCTTTTATGAATGAAGCCTTAGCATTTAAAAGGGCTTTGATAGTAGTTGTGGATTTAGGTAATAGTAAGGTGATACTGGAAAGTGACTGCTTGCAACTCGTTGTGTTCGAGATCACTGTCTGGAATTATGTGAATGGCTGTGTAGAGACATTGATCTTCATAGCATAGTCTTTTTTACTTCCAATGTTGGGTTTTCTCTTTCTTTCACTCACCGTGAAGGCAACATAGAGGCTGATTACTTAAGGATGTCTACCCTATTGGCTAGTTGCTGACATCACTTCCTTTGTTTTACATACTAGCAATGGATATCGTGGAGGCTTCTTGTGCAGTTGACAAATCTGGAATTGGTTGATTCCACTGATGCTGATTCCTTTTCTTAGCTGTTTTCGTTTGCTTTATTGTTTTTTTGCTGCTTTCTGTTGGTTTCCCATTTCTGCTGTTATGTTGCTATTTTGCTTTGCTGTAATTTTTTAAACTTCTATTGGAATGAAGTCTCCTTTAGCCAAAAAAAGAAAAGATGTGAAAAGAGAGAAAAATGCAAGAAGTTAAAATAATTTAAAATGATATAAGTAAAAGATAACACATAATATTAAATGAATCTGACATTATATATTTTTACTGCAATGTATAATTGAAATGATGCACTAACTACATGTAAGAATTTATCATGTATCATATCTCCATGCAGGTTTTTTCATTTTCGGTAAATTATCTATATTTCATTTTAAGAACTAATTTTTGGAAAAATTTAATATTCAATTTTTTAAATATTAAATTATAAAATTAATTTAATGTATTTATAAAACTTGTAAGACGTCACATTCTTCATAAACAATAAAAATTATGATGGTTCTGTGACCAAAATAAAAAACTATGATTGGTTTTATTTGGACTTGTACAAATGCACAAAGTTCACTATAATTTTATCTTGGGAAAATTAATCTGTCACTTCTTATAATTTTGCTCAATTTTAAATTAAATTTATGTAATTTATTTTATTTTAATCAAACCCTTATAATTTGATCTGTTATACTCTCTCTGGTTAAAAAGTGTAAGACATTTTTAATTTTTTAATATGTAATTATTGCCTATTTTTAAAAATATTCTTATTAAATAAATCACTTTATATTTATTTTAAGGTAAAATACCTTATTAAATATGGATAAATATAAAAAGATAGTATTAATTTGAAGGAAAATAATTACTTTATTGAGAGTAAGATTCAATTAAAAATATTTTATATTTTTACATGGAGTGAGTATATGTTAGCCCCTAAAGATTAAAATTAACAATGAATTATTAAATTAAAAAAAAACTCTTGAAGTTTACAGAAAATTTAATTTAATACTTTTAGCTAAAATAAAAAATTAATTTAATACGCTGTTTACATTTTTATTAATTTTTTATGAAAATTTTATATGTATAAAAAATATTTAAAAGACAATCTAATTATGTAAATTTTGAATTATAAAAATTATGTAATTAATTCTAAGGTTATACATTAATTTAATAAAAATATAATTTTTTTTAATTTTATTTTTTTAAAAGGAAAAATTTAAGAATTTTAACCATTAGATATTAAAAAAAATTAATCAACTATAAGGACTCAATTAGGTTGTAATAAATTAATCAAACTATAGAATTTTGTTATTGTTGTTGTATAAGGACTCAATTAAAACAAAATACTTTACCAAAAAATAAATAAATTATAGAGATCTAATTTAAAATTGAGTAAAATTACAAGGATCAAATAGTATTTCACCATATCATTAAACTATCTAAACATTTTCTTTTTCAAATTTTAATTTTTTTTCGCTTGATATACATATATTTGCCTCATAATATTTTAAAGTATAATGGCCTGTATATTTAAAACCTCATACATGCGAATTTAACTTACAAGATGTTCGTTCTTGCAAGTCTGAAAAAGGAGTATAAGACAAAAAGTTAATTCATCAATATTAAAAAAGTAGTTGAAATTAGTTTAGTTGACTATATTGTCTTGAATATATATATATATATATATATATATTTATAAACGCTCTCCACTCAGTGACAAGTAATTAAAACTCCTAATTAAAGATGGGTAGAAGGGGAAAAAAATCATATATTGCACAAGACATAACCTATTTATTTATTTGGAGTAAAATAAATCTTTTAAATATCTTTTACATTTAAGACAGGAGGAAATATTAACCATGACAATCATGACCACCCAAAATGCTTTAATAATTATGTTTGAAAGGATTTAAACTCAAATCCTCATAAATATTTCAAGGGATGAAGTTCTTTTCTAAAAGAAAAAAGAAAAAATAATAAACAAGCAAAACCAGAAAGAGATGAACGAATTTCACCATTTTTTATCATTAACAAATAAAATTTACCTCTCCCTCCCTATTTCTCTTTAATTTCAGTTTGCAAATCTTGAGAGGGCTCTATCTCTATTATCCTGTCAACCTTTTATTTGTAGATAAAAATGCAAAAAAGATTGCTCACCTTTTTTTTTTTTTTTTTTAATTTCATCTTCCCATGTAATTTGTGTAACAAATATTATTGTCATCCTTGGGCAAAACCTGGGGGGTAAAGTAGAAGAATCCTGAGTGCCAACAAATTTCGCCTCGTTTGATTCCCTTCAATCAAAGATCATCCAAAACAATTAACGTGTTACATAAATTGATAAACAAAGATTACAAAAGAGAAGGCAAATTAACAACATTCAATTTCCTTAACCCAGCTTCGAAATAACATCATTCAGAGTAGCTACTGTCTCCGCATAATACTTCTCCGCCTGTGGTGTGCTCTTAATTTTTGCAGCATAATCCAACTGTACAATGCCACACAATCAACTTCTTAATTCTTTCAAACCTTCCTAATTAGTAATACTGATTACATTATTTATTGAATATTCCTTCACTGTTACATAAACTTTATAGGATAACAGAGATATGACTTACATTGCTGATATCCTGGAAGAGTTTGGAAGTGAGTTCCTTGAGGGATTTCTTTTGGTCCTTAGGCTTAGCAGATATGACGGTGTTCAGATCATAACGAAGATACTCTGCTTTCAGACGCAAATCATTCTGAACGTAAGGCCAAGCCTTCTTGTCGATCAGCTCTTTCACGTTTATGATATCCTTCGCTGATTCCTTCGCCCTCTGTGCCGCCTCGCTCGGCGATAAAGGTTGGAGGTAGAACCTTTGCTTGAGAGGTAGCTGAAGGTCTCTTGGCTGATCTGAGTTCAATGTTCCAGCTGCCATTTCCCAAAATTATCACCAATCAAATCAAATTCCACTCATTCTGTTCCCTAATTGATAGCCCTCTTACTAAGATTTAAGTCAATTTGAAAATTGGAATCAGCAGGGTTAGGGTGCGAGGGAGATGATAAGACTTACGCAATCCACCGGAGGGGGGGAGGAGGGCCGACTTTGATGGGCTTGGCGTCGGCGAGGACGGCTTGAACGAAAGAGCCGGAAGCCAGGCCGGCAGCGACGAGACTGAGCACCGCCCGGCGGCTGGTCTCGTTGTCGGGCTTCACTTGCTGGGCTCGGAGGGTGAGCCCAGCGGGACGGGTCGGGCCCAAGCCCAACCTGGAGAAGGCGGGGAGGTTGAGGCGCGTGGAACCACTGAGTTGGAGGCTACCTTGAAGGTGAGAGGAACGTCGTAGGCCAGACATAGCAGAAGATGCCATCGCTTGAGCCATGTTTCTCCGATCAATCTCCGGAAAGGTTAGTAGAATGGTGAGCGATGGATTATGTAACTGCGTGTAACGGGCAGTCCGGGCAGCAACTTATCTGCCCGTTTCCCGCTTGGATAAGTTGTATATAGTCCCCGCCAATCGTGTTGATGATGATGGCAAGCCCATGTTGTGTTTCCATCGTGAATTTTTCAGTTCTTATTGTTAGCAAAGGAATTTTTTTAATAAATTTTTTCATTCGATTTTCTCTTTATCTTTTTTTAATTTTTTTTTGTATTTTTATTTGTATAAATGCAGAATACGTAAAGAGTTTTTTCCGACGTAAATTATCTTTACAAATATGCACAATACATTGATTTCATGAAATTCGTATTTTATAATCATATTCGTTTTAATCTTCCAGCACAATTCAAGAGAACATTCATAAAATGAAATCATTATATAACTTGTAAATTCTAAATCTTTTCTTCTATTACTTGATTATTTTTCTGAGAGTCATGTTAAATTTTAAAATGGTTAAATGTCCATACATGCATGCATGACATAATCCTAGTTAAAATGTAAAATGTATTTATAAATCGAATTAAAGAAAATACTAATTTAAAAAAATCCTACATAAAATGAGAAAGAAAGATACTACTTAATTAATTTGATTCTCTCGATTTATAAAATAAGTGAAAGATAATAGAAAATATATTATCGATGAAAAGACATTGGTTACATAATAAAATAAAACATGTTATTGCCACTTAAACATGAAATCTTAAATATCACCCTATGAGGTGCAAAATATTTTTTTTTTTGGATGAAAAATATATCATCAAATTTTGTTTCAATCTTACTACTTGAACATTACTTAACATTACATGTAAATTCTAAACAAATATCATTTCTTACTCTAAGGTCCAAATCAAGGCAAAGCAGGACAGTCAAGTCAACAAGGCGAATAAGACCCGGGTATATATTGGACCCAAAGATTCGTTCATGCTTGATGCTATGCTAGAAGGAAGATAGAAAGGTGAAGTGGAGAATTGGTGCAGCGTGTGCGTGTGGCTTTGGCATTTGGCAACGAGGCAATCGCTTTTTGTGGTGGTGGTAATGGGACGATGCTGCTCGATTGTCTCTCTCAATATCTCTCGCGTTCCTTTCTCATCGCTCATCATATTCTTATTCTTACCTTTTACGCTTCTTTTGTATCTCATTCTCAACCATTTACATCGTAATTCGTCGGCTCTCCATCTTTTTTTCTCGTTGATTCCCAAGCACGGACGTGAACCACTCTTTCGCCATACGCCACGGGAAACTTGTCATCGGAATTCTGAGTTTCCGGCACTCTGTCGCACATGGGTTCTTCGGAGAACCCCAATTGGGTATTCGATTACGGTTATTTAGACGACATTCCCGTCCCTGGTGGTGACCTTCCTTCCCTTGACCCGCCCAGTTTTGTTTGGCCCCATCATTCCCTCACTGCTCCTCCTGCTGATTTCAGGTTACCCCGTTGCTTTTCAAGTGTTCTGCCTTTGTATATTGTTTCAGGCCATCGGTCTTATTTAAAATGCTGCATGATTTTGTGGTGAATTATGGCCAAAATTTCTTTGGGTCTGAGTTCTGTTGGATCAAGAACAATATTAAGGGACAATGTAGCCGTTTATGTTTGACTTAGTTTCATAAAAAGTTCTCTCTTACTTTAATGTTTACTTCTTCTGTCTTCTTTACAAATGTTTGGAGAAATATGGAACAGTTGTTTTTGCCATTGACCCTCAGTTCACCATATTACGGGACAGATAAAGCTCTTTGAATAATTAAAAGAAAAAAATAGGACTGGGTTGGACAGAAAAAAAGCTATTTGTTAGGAAAATGGCTTTTATCTTTGGGACTCAATGAAAATAGGACTGAGTTCAGCTTCTCTAGCAGTGTTGTTCATGGGGTAGCTGCTACTATGAGAAAGCAGGCTGCTTATACACTGTGCTAGAAAGAACGTTTGAATCATTTAAGTATTTTCCGTGAAAATTCTCTATTCTAGATTATAGATCTGATTTTCATATCTTTACTGGACTCTGTTCTGTTGTTTTAAATAATTTTTCTTGTTTTTAATTATTGATGTTTTTATGCTATCCTCAGAGGCGGTGACCGGTCTCTATTCAAAATTATTTACTTTCCTTTACCTCTAGTCTTCTATCCGAACTTATAACCATTTCTCTTTGACTATTCTCAGTACAGAGTTGGATGATACCTATGGGAATTCTGATGTTCTTAAGGAACCTGGGTCAAGAAAACGGTGAGCTGTATTCACTGTCACATAATTGTTGTTTTGCTTTTAGTTTAGAAGCTTCTTTCCTTTACGTAATTTCCAATTTATTACTTTCATTTTCTTACCATGCCTACTTTTTGTTTGGTTGTTGCATACTATCTTGATACGTGAGTTTTGGCTTCCAGATGGATACTGTCATCAATATCACTCATTTGAATTTGATGCTTCCTAGCATGCAGTAATCTTTAGAAAAAAAACAAAGAAAAAAAGCGTTTTTACAAGTAAAATCTTATTAATAAAGTTTATATTTTGCTTTATTACCATAAAATTTGATAGAATTATAAGTTCCAAATTGGTTAGATATCAATTTTAACCATGGAATTGGATACCTGATCGCAAAGTGGATGAATAATATGTGGGAACATCCCCCCCAAAAAAAAAAAAAAATCTTAAAGACATAAAATACAAATATCTAATGTTTTTTCAAAAAAAAAAAGAGGAATTTTTGCTTCTTTGAATTTGACAAAAATAGTCCTTATATTCATCCTCAATCCAAAATAGATCCATCCTCTTTTCATGTTTTTTTCCTTCCCTACTTACTCATTTCTCTGTGATATTACAATCCCAGCCTAAGGTCAGGACCCAGCAATTCATCTGGAACCAAAGCATGTAGAGAGAAATTGAGGAGGGATCGACTGAATGACAGGCATCTTCAAATCTTCCACCCACTTTCTATGTTCCTGCTCTCATGATGTTTTTTGTTTTAACGTTTTGGTCTAATCTCTGTCATGCGACTGATTCAAGCAATATTTGAAGGTTCCTAGAATTGGGTTCTATCCTTGATCCTGGCAGGCCTGCCAAAGACAAGGTTGTCATATTAAGCGATGCAGTTCGAGTGCTCTCTCAGCTAAGAGACGAGGCTCTGAAGCTTAGAGAGTCCAATGAGAATCTGCAGAAGAAAATAAATGAATTGAAGGTGTGTGTGATTCTGGGTCTGAAGTATGAACACTTTAATTGTCGTATTAACTCTGAAACTACAGATTTGGATCTTGTCGTGTGACATAATATGATGCGCAAAGAGATACCTTTTATTCAGTTATGAAAGAACAACAAATTATGCATATCTATTCGCGCAACTATTATGTCCCCATGGTAGGATCAAAATATATAATATTTCTTCTTGTTCCTCATGCATGTGAGTTTGTTTGTGTAGGCTGAGAAAAATGAGCTCCGCGATGAGAAGCAGCAGCTAAAATTGGAGAAAGATAACATTGAGCGGCAAGTCAAAGCCTTGAATTCACAACCAAGCTTCCTGCCTCACCCTCCCACCCTCACAGCTCCATTTCCAACACCAGGACCAGTTCTTGGGGGCAAGATGGTGCCATTCATTCGTTACCCAGGAGTTTCAATGTGGCAGTTCTTACCCCCTGCTGCTGTTGACACCTCACAGGACCATCTACTTCGTCCCCCAGTCGCCTAAAACTTGGTAAAGGTTGTGTATTCTAGCCTTTCAAGTTTCAATAATATTTTTATGAGAAAAGGCTCTTCTTTTATTTCTGCAAATTTAATTTACTCTCACATCGGGAAAATTTGATAATCTTGCGTTGGAAGTGCTCCCATTGATTTCTGAGTGTTATCTTTTATTCAATACACAGCTTCTGGATGTAGTTCTAGTTCGAGCCGGAATTGATATTTAGAGTAGCTTTGGTTTTGGTAATTTTTATTGTTAATACTCATTTACAAATGAGTAATGAGTATGATTTTGTGGATTGACTTAAAAACAACAAATGATGATCTGATCAACAAATTTAATGGCCAGAGTCTGCTAAAAGATGATCCTTTTATATCTTATTGCTCATGCAGAAGCCAAAGTGTCCATAATCTTAGCATGAGGTGATAACCATGTAGACATGTTACAATACTACTGAGTAGAAGTTCTAGCAGGCTAACACAAAGCTGAAGTAAACACAATTGTCTTGACCCTTAACAGGGCAGTTTGAAGCCCAAGTATTTCCCAGATTTATAGTCCCTCCAAACCTGAATGGCTCCAAAGCTGGTCATCAGAACAATGCTTAAAACCATAACCATGCCGATTGCGAAAACTATCAAGGATGCTCTACCATACTTGTGGACTGCTTTCCGCAACACCAATAAACCTAGCATTGATGCCACAAAACATATAACTGCCAATATTAGTGCTGTCTCTGTATGTTCCATGCCTAGCAACATGTACTGTGACGCCGACATTGTGGAAGAGAAGAAAACCATGAAAGAACATGTTGCTGCTGTCACCTATATAAACAAAATTATTTCTCAGTTGCTACCAACTAAGCTGGCTGATATATATATATATATATATATGATAGTTTAAAAACTGTAATGTAAGGGAACTGACCTCAGGTGCCATTCCAACTTGAAGAAGAAGGGGGCTTATCAGCATTCCACCTCCAATTCCAAAGACACCACCCAGAAGACCTGCTGACAGTGCCATTATTGGGAAGATAAGCTTATTTGGCCGTCCATCTCCAGTCAAATCCTGGTCCTGTAATGTCGATTGGAATGAGATTAGCTATACTTCAATTGCTTGTTTGAAATAGTGAAAGAGCCTGTTTAGATTTCAGTTGGTATAATTGATTATGAAAATAATTGATTAATATGATTGATTTTAATTATAATTGATTATATTATAATGCAATCTGTTTGATACTGAAATTAATTTTAGTTGTATAAATTATCATAAAGGACATTGCTTTTCAAAATTAAATTATTGATAAAGTTATATTTAATATTATTAAATTTGTTAAACTTTATTTAAGAAGTAAAATATATAATTTAACAGTAAAATTGAATCTATAAACAACCTCTTTAGAACTTATTTCAAAATGTGATTATAGCATAGTAATCAATTATCAACTTTTTGTTGCTATTTGAGTAATTTTTCTAAAAATTGATTATTTGGGTCCAAAATCGATTATAATGTCAATTCAAACAGGCTGAAAAGCTTTGTTTTTTAGGCAGTGAGGTTCGGGAACCTACCTGACTTGTTAGAGGCTGATCTTGATGGCTCTCTTTCCTGGATACGATCCAATAAATGAAAATTACAGTGAGAGGTATTTGAACTGATGAGAGAATCCAATATACCACCCCGCACGGCTCCATTGGAATTATACTCTGCACATAGTTCATCATTTTCGAAACATGTAAGATTCAAAGTAGTTCCAATGGCATTTAACGATCAACTTCACTAAAACAATGTTCATCTGTTTTTGTTTCCAAACATGTTATTAGAAGTATCATGCATCAGCTGATTAATCGCATGTATTTGAGTATTTTTACTGCGTGAGTTTGTTCTTCGTGAATAAAGAATGGTGCAGAACCTATGCCAACTAACCATTTGCACTAGCACGCTTCAGAGATTTTGATGTAGCTGGGACAGTAGGACCACCGCATTAAGGGGTAGCATAAAGACTCCAAAATTGACTTGTATTGACAAAATAATTATTGACTAGGACTAACAAGATCCATATATTTGCAGCAAAATTTAAACCCACTACTTTACAGGCGATAGATCAAATCCTCTCATGTGACATTTTTAAAAATTAAATTTTTTAATCATTATCTTGAGAAATTTATTTCCATATAAAATTTAAAGCAGAATATCACAAGATATTGGCAGTTCACCAAGCGTCCAAACATAACATGTAAGTAGACAAATGCAGTTAAATTAATAATTAGGAAGAATTACGTTCAGTTTTCACAGAAAGAAATTACTTAATAATCAATTTTCAACAATCTTAGTTTAGCAGTCAATGAATTTTGAATTTTGTAGTGATTAATTTTTTTGTATAAGACTTCAATGTAATTCTTTTTAATAATTATGTTCTCAATCTTTAGTCATGAAGAGCAAAGTATCCATACCTGTCCATACTTGTTGCCAAGAAGAAGATGGAGGGTGAAGAAAGAAAACCAGATCAAAAGCAGGATCCCTAGTTTGAGCCAAGGAAGCCTCAATCTGTCATGGTTCTCTTGATGACGACGACCCAAAAGAGGCTCCTCAGAGATCGTCAAATCTCCATTATTTTCTTGTCCCATTCTGTTCTCCTCGACTTGCCCGACCCCAACGTTACTCTTCCTCGTAATCTCTTCCGATTCCTTCTTCCAAAACATAACCCCCTTTCTGCATGTCTTGGCCGTGGACCAAGCCAGAAAAACAGCAAACAGAATAGTGATCAGCCACTCGGGGAATACGCGGTTACAGATAACTCCAACACTCACTCCTAGCAGCATACAAGGTTCCGATAAAAGAGCTATGTCATAGTCAATCAATGTCTTCCCACCATACTTTGGACTCTTTGTACACATACTGCAGAGAACGTTCGCAGCAGAACCTCCTGTGACCATGAAAGCCGACAGGCTCGAAGCTGTTTTGAGGTCTAAGCCAGCGACAATGGTGAGAATGGGTACGAAGATCCCACCTCCTCCTATGCCTCCAGCACTGGATATGGAGGAAGCTATGAAGCAGAGAATTCCTGCTACAACCAAAAGGGTTGATGGGTGGAGCTGGGTTTCTTGGAATTTTTGTGCGTGGGCTTTCAATTCAGAAACTTTGTGAAGGAAAACATGGTGGGTTCCGAGACTGTCTGGAACTGTTGGCAGATGGGTTTGAGTTGCATGGATAGAAGGAATGATGAAGAAGACGATAATGAAGAGTACGAGGAATAAACTTTGGAGGCTGCGGCTACTCATTTTAATAATGTCTCAGGCAATTTCAGAGATTTTTTGAGTGAGATATGTAGTGATGAGAATATGCTAGCGCAAAATGGCTTTATATAGGGACGAGGTGGAACTGTGTGTGCGCGTGTGACACTGATTTGTTTATTCTTGAAAGTGTAGTTTTAGCGGTTGCCCCTTGCAGATAATTTTGATAATTTAGAGTAAACAACAACTTTAATTAGTCAGAGGATTAAAAAATTGCTAAAAGTATGCAGATAATTTTGATAATTTAGAGCAAACAACAACTTTAATTAGTCAGAGGATTAAAAAATTTCTAAAAGGATAAGTATATTGTCAATATTAATAAAATTCTTATCATGACATCAACCGCGGTGCTGGATTTAGTTACCATTCGTTATTAACAACCTCAAGTTAACCTCAGAGAGATTAGGCTTATCTTATTTAGATACTATAATTCAAATAAGGCCTCACTTTGCTGCTTTGAACTCAAAAAGATTATGCTTATCAAGTTAAATGCTATAATCTAGGTGAGGTCTTACTTGCTCATGCATTGAGCTAGGGCCACATTAGGGTTATCAATATTTAAACACTAAAATTCAATCTCTTAATATGTACTAAACCAAGGTCAAGTTATAATAGCAGCATTTAAATGTAAAATTAAACTCATAGAACTTAATTCCTCATGAATCATGATTATATTCTTTCCAATGTACAACTTTTTCTTTTAAAAAGTCAAGTGCAAAGTATAATTAAATCTCCGCCAAAATATTAACAATACAAACTTTTAGGAGAATAAAAGAAAGTTAGAAAGAACTCATGAAAAAAAAAAACACACACACTCTACAATTCATAAGAGGAAATATATCTTACAAGCTTGTTCCTCTATATGTACAAGTGAATGAGGATTTGTAGACATCTTGGCCCCCTTCTATCCAAAGTACAAATTTCAATACAGACTCTGCAGGATAAGGTTATTTTTCTAACATTCTTGACACGCCACATGTAAACAAAGACTCCAACTTACAATAACATAAAGCTAAAATACATGAGAATTCCAAGTCACAAGATATCAAAAGACAAACTTCAAATTTCAAAACACTTGAAAGCAAATGCCATGCAAACTTCACCTAATTTTAAATGTTTTTATTAAAAATATATTAAATTAGTTGCAGTAAATCTGATCGTGGTTGTTTAAAACTTTGGTTAGTGGTTACCATCGTGGACTTTGAGCAAGGAAATTTAAAATGACTCATAAAGATAAAGAGAAGACATAAAGACAACACAACTTAGAATTGGACAAAGGAGGAGATCCTCAAGGTCACAGTATAGAGGGGGGGAACGTGCAAAAAAGTTCCGATGATAATGGGAACAAGTGATCTCTTCAATTGAAATAGAAATAAATGACAAAAAAAAGTTAATATTAACTTTTTTTCATTTATAAGTCGGGTCAGCTAATTCATACAAATCAAAAAATTAGTTAATTATTTAATGCTGTGTTTGGATGCAAATAGATTTGAATTTAGATTTAAACAAAATTCATTATTTGGGTCACTAAAAATGTATGAATTTGGATTTGACTCAAATCCAAATCTAAGTTATATCTCAATTTTTTTATAATTTGAAATCCTTTCTAAACCTTGTTATTTCAAATCTTACTTCAATTTCTTTGTAATTTAACCAGCCTATTGGCAACGCCAAAAAGGACCAAATCGCTTGTGATGAGCAAGACTGGACTGCTACCACTGCTGACTACGATCTAGCTGCCATCGTCGATCAAAATCGAACGGCTAACTTCCACCAAGATAAGACCACCAACACCGACTAGCATTGAAGTGCAAGCGATGACCAAGACTGGATCGTTGACTTTTGCCGGGATCGAATCACTGGCATCCACTAAAATTGGATAGCAAACTTCTACTAGAATTGGATCACTTCCCGTGATCGAGATCAAATGGCATACTTCTACCGAGATCATACTGCTGGTGATGACTAGAACCATACAGCTAATTTTCATCAAGATCGAATCACAAGCCTTGACCAGGATAAGACCTTCGACATCGACCGACATTGGATAGCCATATGCGACTAGGAGCAAACAACTAAATCCTACCGTGATCAAGATTAATAACTTTGAATTGGATCGAACTGGTAACCTCAACTAGGATTAAACCTCTGACGTCAATGGGAACTAGATTGTCAAAGGTCTAGTCCCCATCAAGGTTGGCAATCTGGCCCGATTGATGTCACCAATCCTGATCATAGTGGAAGTCGGCTGTCAAATCGTAATTGCAGTTGGCTGTCCAATCCCTATCAGTGTTAGCAGTTCGATATTGATCGATGTTGGCAATCTTGTGTCAATCAGTGTAGGAAATTCGGTCCTAGTGGAAGTCGGTCATTTGGTCCTAGTCGTCGCTAGTGGTATACTCTTGATAGAAGTCTCTCGTTCAATCCTGATCGGCGCTGGCAGTTCGAATCCGGTGGAAGTTAATCGTTTAGACTGCCGGTGTTGTTTGATTTGCTTTTAAATTCAAACATAGAATTTAAAATTTAGAATTTTACTCAAGATTCAAACAATGGATTTTAATATTATAATTTAAAATTTTTTATATCATCCAGATAAAAAATTTAGAATCTATAAATTTTAAATGTGAGATTTTAAATTTAAATTCTCAACCCAAATTCACTCATCCAAACTCAACCTAAAATTATTTTATATTTTAACAAATACCCTTTTTAATGCAGGAAAGGAACATTACTATACTAGATATTTCACTTTGACTAATGAGATGGGTATACCAAGGAGTTATTAAGTATAACTAGATGGGTTGGCATACTGGCCATCTAGACACATGAAAATTTAAAATGAAACACATTGTCATCAATGACTTGTAGAATAGTTGACATGGTATTTAAATTTTATATTATATAATGATAATGATAATTGAGATATGATTAATTATACATTATTGCATAATACATATATAAGCACTGAAGAGAATGTTTATTTATATAGTTTAACTTTGACAATTTGATTTTAGATGGAGCTTTTATCTTGGTGGGCAAGTAAAGGGGAATAGAAGAAGTTTTTGCTGCCTTCTAGTTCTAACACAGTGGCTCACAAGAATGCTTCCAAGTCGGCAAGTCCCAATACGTAGGTTTTTTCATTTATTTTAATTTGCTTATTCCACTTCTCTCTTAAACGTACGTGACTTGTCCAGCTCTCGTGGGATGAAATGATATACACGGGAGGATTGCAATATACCAACATATTTGTATTATAGGCATGACAAAATCTGAAATAACTTGGCTGGCCCAAAAGCCTCTCGTATAATTTAGTTTTTTGGTGAACAATGAGATTGCCTCTTTGTGAAATACACAACAAAATATCTGTAAATAATATTTAAAGTTCATTTATTAATAACTAAGGAGTTATTAAGTATAACTATTGACTAATGAAATGGGTATACCAAGGAGTTATTAAGTATAACTAGATGGGTTGGCATCCTGGCCATCTGGACACATGAAAATTTAAAATGAATCACATGGTCATCAATGACTTGTAGAATAGTTGACATGGTATATAAATTTTATATTATATAATGATAATGATAATTGAGATACGATTCATACATTATTGCACTAATATATATATATAAGCACTGAAGAGAATGTTTGTTTGTATAGTTTAACTTTGACAATTTGATTTTAGATGGAACTTTTATCTTGGTTGGCAAGCAAAGGGGAATAGAAGAAGTTTTTTGTTGCCCCTCTAGTTCTAACACACTGGCTCACAAGAATGCTTCCAAGTCGGCAAGTCCCAATCATATTACGTAGGTTCCTTCATATATTTTAATTTGCTTATTCCACTTCTCTCTTAAACGTACGTGACTTTTCCAGTTCTCATGGGATGAAATGATATATATACGGGGGCATTGCAATATATCAACATATTTGTATTGAAGGCATGATAAAATCTGAAATAATTTGGCAGGCCTAAAAGCTTCTCTCATAATTTAGTTTTTTTGGTGAACAGCGAGATTGCCTCTTTGTGAAATACACAACAAAAACATCTGTAAATAATATTTAAAGTTCATTATTAATAACAAAATGTCACTTCATTTCACACAGTCTATGTGGCTTACCCTTGGAGGAGAGAAAATTTATAAGTTAAATGGATAATATTTAGAACAAAAACTCTAGAGATAACATTCAAAGTCTATTTATTAATAACAAAATATTTATTCATTTTACATAGTCCATGTGATTTATACTTATTAAAAAAGAGAAAATTTATACGTTACCCACGTGAAAGTAATAACAAAAAGTCTATAAATAACAATTAAAGTTCATTTATTTTTAACAAAAGGTTCATTTATTTTAAAAAAGGATAATTTCATCTTTTCACCAAAAAAACTTAATCGCAAAATAGGCCTTTGAGCTTGTAGAATTATTTTAGATTCTATTGAGCCTTTAATACAAATGTGTTAGTTATGTAGGCCTGCAACACAATTCTCCCTACACACACTTTTTCTTATATTATTTATAAATCAGTTTCAATATGTTTTATTAAAACTAATAAAAACTTTAAAATTCAGTAACCTTATCTAAAAATTTAACTAGTTTTTAATTTTTCTCAAATTAAATTTACATATTTTAAATACATACTTTCTCACATTAATATTTACCGCAATAAATGAAACTTGTGATAAAAAGTAAATGGTATTCCCTCCATTAAAAAATATAAGGTATTTTTAACTGAATCTCACCCTTAATAAAATAGTTACTGTTTTCAAATTAACTTATCTTTTCATATTTACTCCTATTTAATAGGGTGTTTCACCTTAAAAAAATATGAAATGATTTATTCAATAGGGGTATTTTTTTTAAAAAAAGCAATAATTACATCTTAAAAAACTAAAAATATCTTATATTTTTTAACAAAGGAAGTATACTTTAAAAATAAAAGCCTAAAAATTTTCCTTTTGTTCCTTATAAATATGATAAGGGTGCGTATACACACGCACATTTATACATACATGATAAAATTAATCATTTAGCACTTATCTTTTTAACTTAATTATATATTTCAATATGTAAAATCTCCAAGTAAACCAGTAAGGCTACTTTTACTAACCTACGCAAATATCCAAAATCGAGGTAATCAAGA